GTTTTATGTTGTTGGTTAATGAATAACTTGTTAGATTTAGAGTTGTTGTTTGTTTGTTTGTTTGTTTGTAACTTTGCTTGGTGGAAGACTATTGTGCTACATACAATCTGCTCTGCTTGCAGCTTTTCTTATTAAAGTTCTTTATTTTGTAAGCTGTTAGAACGGATGTAAACTTACTGTGTTCCTAGAATCGTAGATTCTCGGGGATTTCCACTTTCCATTTTGCTTGTCATCTATGCTATTAGTTAATGAATATGTGGGGGTTAGGTGTCCACCCGAGAAATATTTATAATACCATTCTTTTTTTTTTTTTCTACTTTAACCATTTATAACTTTACTTTTAATTGCATTATCAACTGCAAGTACTTACCTATAACTCTCATAACCACCTTGAGTTATTCATTCTAGTCTATTTCACTCTTCCTCCTTCCTATTTGCATAGTGTATCTCATTCTAGTCTCTTTTCACTCTTCGTCCTTCATATTTACATAGGGTATCTCATTCTAGTCTCTTTTCACTCTTTTTCCTTGCTATTTGCATAGGGTATCGTGTGTACATGACTCCTAATATACAATTAAACTAGAGCCTTGAGTTATCAACAATATGATAACTATATATGTGGATTCATTTCGTGGAGAAACTCTGGTTTCCCTTTAGTTATAAGTTCTCCTTTATGAGTGAGGATGTCGACCTGTTTAACAAGGTGAGTAGGAATGGAGACAAAAAAGAGAGAAGAGACATGAGCTTTCATGCTTACAATACACAACACAAACACGAGATATCCATATCTAGTACTAGTTTCCCATACAAGCCTTAAAAAAAATTGAGATATGTAAGTTGAGGTTGTTTTGGAAGTGCAACAATAACACAACAAACCAGATGCCACAATAGCCCCAACACAAGTTCCACACAGAATAAGATAAAGGGCTTTCAGATTTTTAATAATTTGCAAAACAAGTCAATACAGGTGCTATCAGCATCATGATAACATTAGGTCTCAATGGAGTAACATCAATCTTACATAGCACAACCGAAGTTGTGACCTCACACAACCTCAGATGATAATGGCACTCATCTGAGTGCGGTAGCATATGGAATTGGAAATTCTTGAAATGTAAGACAGAATGCATGGTGATGACAAACATTGTAGCCACTTGCCCGCCAGAAAGGCAGAACAACCACTACGTAGGCAATCTACCTCTATTCTGAATCCGACGAGTGTGTGCTTTGCCGGACACCCCTGGTTTGAACGCGAGATTTCGTTGGGTTTAGAGATGATTCACCCTCAAAAATGATGACTTGAGCTTTAGCCAACCTCTCTTCCAGTTCCCCTGTGCTGAAATCATCTGTCCCACCAAGCTCATCAAATCCTACCTAAATTGCATTTAGCAGGGGTTTTAGTTACGACAACATTAAATTGAGGAACAAAAATCACCTTAATATTATGTTATTAGTTCGTATTTCCTTAAGACATACCACATAATCATCCACTTTGGCGTTATTTACCAAGGCAAGGGTGGGAAGTACAACAATCTTAAGCTTCTCGGCCAAGAATGGACTTTTCTCAGCTTGAATTTTTACGAAACGCGTCTCAATGTGCTGCTTTGCTAATATACTTAAATGCTTATCCATCACCTACAAGTGAAAGGTAAACATTATTGTCACTCATAAAAAAAAAAAAAGAACATTCACGAAACCAAAAAAATTGTGCATTACAAGAAAGTCTTAAAAACTATGGAAGCTGTTTTATTCTGTCACAGAATAATAGGGTCAACTTATCATTATAATACTAAATTATTCAACTCTTCTGATGCTTTTACAGCAGAAACATTAGAACAACAGTCTAATAACTAGATGGGGAAGTACAAGGAGATGCAATAATAATATACACAAGTAGTTGTCCACTGGCAGCAAACAATATTTGAACATGGGTTGTTCCCCATTCCAAATTGATTGAGCATAGAGAACTGATATGGACCATGCCATCCATAAACATAGCCATGGATAACTGACAGCCAGTGCTAATAGGTTACAAAACTAACAACCGTCATTCTAAGTGTAAATCAGATATGCAGTGTCTAAACTCTAAACCAATAACCCAAGAATAAAACTAATAATTAAAAAAAGAAAAGGAATGAAAAGCAACTCTGTCTGATGCTCTTTGCGCCAACCACGATGATGGTCTTGGAAGCATTGAAGCTTGCTTCAACTCCAGCGTTTTCCCAGGTTGCTTTGGTTATTTTTTCCATTGAAAAGGAGTCAGCCGTCTAAATGAGTCACCTTCGCCTAGGCTCGTCTGGATAACATGCCATTCTCATTCAACAAGCGTTTCCTATTTTTACATATTATAAAATCAAGAAAAAGCTCTCTTGTGGCATTCTGAAGTAGATGATATTTAAATGTTTCATATCCTGTTCTCAGTCTGAGTCTACAGAGTGGGTACGAAGGCCACTATAACACAAGAGTGCCACCTAAAAATCTTTAAAAGTTAAAAACTAACGGAATAGAACAATAAAGAAATAGGGCAGGTAAGAACCCTCATTTGCAACTTGGATATATACACATTAGATTAAACCCTTCCAAGGTGTATATAAACACGTTTATCAGCTGACTAAGCTGTTGGTTTAGAAGGAAGTTTCAGTCATCCACCTTGGCAGCCTTCATAAGAAGTTTCACTCAACTCCAACTTAAAATTTTCTTTCATTGCATTCTCGATTCCCTTTTTATACTTTTAATTGTTTTAAAATACTACTTCCCATTACTAAGCTCTATCTCACAATCTTTGCTCTCTATTTTGATGCATTATCCTTCTTTATCCCTCTTTCATCCCCTGTTAACACTTCTCTGACAGTTTGCCTGGTATGAAGGATGCAAAAAACTAAAATCATCTCTAAGAAAAGGAAGCCATCTTTTTTCATTCATTTTTGCTTGACTGGGCACGAAAGAAAGGACAAATACCCTTGGTAATTGCTTTATTTTACCTGTATACCTCAGAGATGTTAATGTTTCAGGGGCAAACAATAAAATCACATGTCTATATCCTCGAACACTTTTGGTTAAAAAGAATGGGGTTAAAAAAACTCATTGTCCCTTTGGCCCAAGGTTGAATTTGCTTCTAAACTAAATTTTTTCCCCTCAAATTTGCCCTCAAACTTTGAAAAATGTAGTGATGGCATCCTTCCACTCCAATCCATTGCACAATAAGATGATAAACCAACATGCCACAGATGTAAGATTAATAGTTGGGGTATTTACGCTACAACAGCAAAAAAATGAACCCTTCCCAATAGAGTTGACTAAATACCTTCTTTTTACCAATTCACCCTCTATGTCCATTCCGAGCCAACCAACACCACCGTAGAAACAACCATGACCACCACCGTTCCCTCTCCCTCCCTCCCTCCCTCCCTCTCTCTCACTGCCCAAACCTATCTCCACCATCTAAACAAATACTACACAATCACCCAAAATGACAATATTCAACCACCATCTTGGCATCTCCACCACCTTTTCTCTTCAACCTAGCAAACACAGTAACCGCTACATAAACCCACTGACTGCATCCTCTCTTCCAACAAACTGCAAAGTAAATCACACTAATCCACCATCATTTGTTCTTTCTGCAACACCACACCCTGTCAACCCAAAACCATTATCAAAACCACCCAATAATCAAAATAACTTTACCTAAAATTGTTGGTTCTATATGCATTTCACCACCAATAAAGCCTTCCAATCAATCTCCATTTTAATCGTGACTGATAAGCATTAACACATGACCACCATAGTTGAAACCACAATTAGGGACGAATCAGGAATTTATTATGAGGGAGCCAAATAGTGACATAAGCAACAAATTTTATCCAACTTGAAATTCAACAAGTTATTCTGGTGCATAAAACCTATCAAAATCAACTTTCATGAGATCATACCATCGTCAATATTAGTTTGCCATAAAATCCGAAAATTAATTCTTACCTATCCAATCATTGAACAACATGAAACACATTTTGAATTTTGACAATGACATGTGGAACTTCGTTTTAATTTTGATTTAGCAAGAATTTATATTTTTTTTCCAAATATTTTGCTTAGTCAATACTACCACATTTTTTGCATAATTCAGTTAGTCTGGCATTAGAATTTTGATATAAGCCACATTATTAACCCAATTTTGTAGGAATTACCATTTTTTTTCCTTTAGTCATTATTCATTAAACTCATCAACGCAAGTGTATTTGCTTGTAAAAAAAACACTCATCCATGTGATTACATACCCAATTTGGTCATTCGATATCAATCATATATATATATATATATATATATATATATATATATATATATATATATGAAAACATAAGGGGAATAATATGGATTTTTGAAAATTTCAGAGGGTTAAAGGCTTTTTTGAAAATATGAGGGGCAACATGGCCCCTCTTGGCCTATAGATGGTTCCATCCATGGCCACAATCAACGACCCATCCAACCTGCAGGGAAAAAACGGTGGTGCTGAATTTGATGGTAGTATCTGCAATAGCTGGCTCTGGTGATCGTTTTGATGGTGGGCGTGGGTGGTCGCAATTATTGATGCAGGTGTGGCGGTGGTGTTGTCAATGGATATGGGATCACTTAAACATTGTCAAAATTGTAACTTCTTTTTGTTAGCTATTAATATGATACAGCTTGTAGAAAACAACACAAGCACATTTAAGAAATCATGCTATTAGTGTCCTTCTATACTCTATGGCAGTAAGATCTCGTAAAAAAAACACACCCACACACATATTCTAGCTCCCATTTGACCCTAAACCCCAATCGACCATAGTATAGTGTAGAGAACCAAACTTAGAATAAGAAATTATCAACAATAGCCTCTAAAAACCTCATCTTTCCAAATGAGAACAAGCAAAAATGATTTCAGGCTCCAATTCTCCTTCCTTTTCCTCTTATTTCAGCCACCAACCAAACAATGCAATTCAAATCCCCAAAAAAAAACCATATCATTCTAAATCAGAAAAACATAATTTACATTATATATTTACCTTACAAGGCCAGTTTTCACGATAGAAATGGCAGACGACGCGCTCACTGGCCTTAACGACGGAGAAGAATTCCTTTTCGGTGGGGATCTCAGAATACTCGCCTTGACCGAGTGAAATCCAACGGCTACGCTTCTCCGCCATTTTCTTCATCTGTTGCAACCTTCGTTCTCTTAATGCCTCGATATCGTCAAGGTCGAGCCGATCTAGGGCATGAATTTCGTCATCGAGCTTGTCTTCGACGGCTTTGACCACTGTAAGAACTTGCTTCTCTAGGATCTGCAGATAACAAAATTAGTAACATAAAAATGTGTATAATAGTACATGTGGAGAGAGAATTCCAATTCGACAGAGAGATGTAATACCTCTTGAACCTTCGGATTATCCATTGATGAAATGCTCCTAATGTCACACTCGCAGCGTCTCAGAAATTTTTTTCAAAATCAAAATGAGAGAGAAGAGAGGTCAGTTGATTTCTGTTCTTTACCTTTCGTCCTTTTTTCCTGGAGCAATCCTAGAGAGTTGGGCCAAAAAGGGCTGGATAAGTGGTTGGGTTGGCATGAGAAAGGGAAAAAATATGGCCCATCTAAGGAAGATCGGCCCAATTGTGTATGTGGATGGACTTCCAATACTATTTAGAGAAATTTGGATTCTTGTCCCTTATATGAAGTTGTTTGGATTTAAGTCCGCCAAGGAAATTTATTTGTTATGAAGTCAATATTTTTGTTAATTTTACCATATTATCTTTTCTTTTTAAAAGTGAAATAAAACTAAAAATTAAAAACTCATAAATCTTAGGAGTTTGACTAACATTAAAACTTTTTCTCTCTCATATCTATTTATATTTATATATAGGTTAAGAGTTTAATTAACATTAGAATTTTCTCTCTCTCTCTCTCTCTCTCTCTTATCTATCTATATCCACACACACACACACACACAGATATATATAGTAACATTCAAAATAAAAAATAGTAACATTCAAAATAATAGTAATAACATGTTCAAAATAATAGTAACATGAACAGTAATATACTCAACTAAAGCAGTAATATAATAAAAAAAAATAGTAACATAAATTTGAATATATCGATTAGGTATATATATATATATGACCAATAAAAAATCTTAACCATATATATTTTAACCATTAAAATATTTTATCTCTCTCTTATATGTATATATTCATATATTGGTCATGTATATATATAGTAACATTCAAAATAATAGTAACATGAACAGTAACATACTCAACAAAAGTAGTAACATAATAAAAAAATAGTATCATGAATTTGAATATATATATATAAAAAAAATTTCTCATGACCAATAAAAAATCTTAACCATTAAAATCTTTTCTCTCTCATATCTATCTATATCCATATATAGGTTAGGTGTATATATATATATTTGGCTATCACTTTCCTCAGCATATATATATATTCGGCTATCACTTTCGTTGCCATATATATATTTGCATATGTATATTCGACTATCATTTTCCTCACCATATATATATTTGCACACACACACACACACACACACACACACATATATATATATATATATATATATATATATATATATATATATATAGAGAGAGAGAGAGAGAGAGAGAGTTTTGAATTTGAATTTTAAATTTATGATAGAGATTTTATTGACATTGAATTAAAGGACAACAATTTTCAAAAAAGAAATTAATTTAACTTCCTTTCAAGGAAGGGTATTTTTGAGATAAAAAAAAAATGGACTTAAGTCATTACATATAATTTTAAACATGAACTTAACTCCTTATAAGTTTTCTTACAGGATTTATCTTCAAACAAGTACATTTAGGAGGACTTACTTCCAATTTTCACTACTATTTAAACCTAATTCAGAAAAATTTAACTCATTGTAATTATTAAATTAATTAGAGTAATATTAGATGGACTTAAAAATTAGACTTGATAATCTCAATTATTGAATAGATAGTAGATTTTAATAAATGCTGGGACCCACAATAAAATTAATGATTGAGATTACCGAGTATAATCTTTAAGTCCATGTAACATTAATTTGAAGTTATGAAAAAAAAATTTCAATATTATGAAAGTCTCAAAAGTAGAAAAAAAAATGTAGAAGAATAATTCATTGTGGTCATGCTTCCTTAGTCTCTGTCAATTGTATGGTAGACAGCTCCAACTTGATAAATGGCCATCTTGATCAATGCTTTTTAAGTAGTCTCTTCTTTAGTTTCTTCAAAGTAAAAGGTATAAAGAGGGCTCGCCACCATGAACTTACCGACCAAGCTTTTCAAAGCACAATCTCTCTCTCTCTCTCTCTCTCTCTCATGGATGGATTTGTACTTCACGTGCAATGCAGCGTAAAAAAGAAGGTTGCTGTGGCAGGTCAATAAGGCATCAAAGCTGGGGATCCATGGAAGCTCTGCTTTATGCTCTTTGACAGAGTCATACAGATTACTTTGTTGGGGTAGAAAGGAACATAAGGAACAATCGATGTTTCCCTTTTAAGTTTGGATAAAATAACAGGCCAAGACTGCCTAGTATCCACGAATATATTTACCCACCCCCTCTTCTCTTCCCAGTCATAGAACTGGAAGAAAAAAAAATATAAAGGTCATCTATAGTGAAATACAATTGCTTTCTTCTTGTAATCTCGTGTCTATGAAACTATTACATGTGCAACTTAAACGGATTAAATGGATTGTTACAAGAGCTCGACCTATTCCTCATCCTCTTTTCGAGAAATTCAAGAAAAATAGAAAGTGCTTGAAGCGCTTCCTATATGGTTTGCTCAAAAATATTAAAAAGTGGTATTGATTGGGTGGTTGAGAACTACCAGATTAAGATAGTTTTGTTGGGATGACTTACATGGGCAGCATGGTGTATCTGCAGTATGACATACTTAGCCGCCTACACATGTGAAAACCTCGCACCATAGTGATTGTTTATATAAACTCACGTCTTTTAATGTAGAACGTCTTTTGTCAAGATTTTATTTTATTTTATTTTAAAAACATGAGTTTTGAACCACGTTTACAAGTAACTATGATAGTTTAGAAAATAAGTAAGGAAATATAGTAACGAGATAAAAAAATACAAAATTATGGTAGTGCAACTGTACCTTTGATACATTATATCTTCAGGTAGAGTGTTTATTGAAGTGTGTTATGTGCACATGTGTTCTCCTGAGTAATAATTTGAGATAGCGGCACTAAGGTGAGGCCGCTCCTGAATCCTACAAATAAGGAACAGGGTTGGAATTGGTTGAAGACGTGTTTGGCTTATCTTTTTCGATACTTAAATTAATAAGAGCTCAAAAGGACGATTAAGTTTTACTGTGTTAAGATGATTTTGATGATGTATCAGAGAGCCCATTATAACTGACTAGTAGTGCCCTTTTAGGGACAAGCAATCTATATAATAAAATAGGAGTGTGTTTGAATTTTGTCCCAGTCATATTTTTCTCTTCAAAATCATTTTCAATTACTTATCTCACCCATCATTCTTTTGTCAGACTCAAATGTTAAATCGCATCATTTATTTCTATCATATGTTTAATAATTTATATATTTATTCCCTAAAAATATCACATTATTTATTTTTATTATATTTTTAATCATTTAATATTTGATTAATTTGTAATTAATATATTTTGAAAAAAATTAATATAATGGGATCGATTTTTTGGACGCTCTAATTTTATATTTTATCGTGTCTTTAGACACGAGTTATGACTAATCAATAGATATTCCTCCCTCAAGTCATGCAATTATTAGGCCTAACCACATAGGGGAGGTTGGCGACCTAACTTTATAATGATTGTTTTGCTTGAGAAATCGAGTATTTAATATACTTCCTCTAAACATTTAATAGACTGTGTCAGATTCTATCGGGCTTTCACTGAAGCACACCAACATATCCACGAAACGGGTGCTAAATATTAAATAACGCCCCTGAATAGTTCACGTTAAAAAGAGTCATGTCATTATCCAAATTTTCTAATATTCAACTTATGAGTTGAAGTAACGGGATAATTATTCCCAGCAGCATGCCACATCGTGGAATTCCACACACCTGCCTAGCATTGATTGCTCGGGCTCGGGATCACCTATTTTTCCATGGCCCCAAGGTGCCTAATTCCACATCACCTCTTTCTCAGAGCTATAATTTCCCTCAATACAACACTATTCATATCCATGTATCATGCTCTAATACGAGCGTCACATCGTGTTTTGTCACTATGTCATTTTTCCTCAAGAATAAAAACTTTTTTTTTTGAATGTTGACACTCTTAGAGAGAGAGAGAGAGAGTGCATAATAATGTATAGAACCAGTATGGTGGAGTACAATTTTTTTGTTTTTGCACTAGACTTATATAAGCACAATTTTAAACACATTATATAATAAAATCTCAAAACCCATCCTTATAATACTCCTCACAAATCATCAAGTGATTTGTTCACAATAGGTCGTGGGTGAAAATCCACTTAGAAGTAGAGAATTCCACTTGAATTCATTAAAGATAATCCGTTAGTACATGAAATTAATTCTAAATATAATTGAGAACATCTCAATCTGCAAGGAAAATCTTCTTTTACGATATGCATCTTGTTTTGTCCTCTTATTTTGTCCACATCACATGTTTGTTTCGTTCGAGATGATTTTGATATAGTATGAAGATTGGTCTATAATTTAGAACTTTTAAGTTCAAATAATCGAAATAACTCTATATATATCAAAATAAGATCACACACAAGAGACCCTCTCTAAATGTTATAATTATGAGGGTAAAGGCCGGCCCAATGGGTAGGCAATCAAAATCGACCCCAAATTTTTATTATTTAAGTTTAAGTAAGCATAATTTGGCTTTCAAGACTATTAGCTTCTGGCTCAACTAAGTCTAGTTTTGTTGTCAAGATCCTATTAATGCTTACTTAAGTATAATTTTATCTTAAGGCCCCAAATAATGAGATAATCATTTGCAGGAAAATAACAGATAATTACCAATAATATGACTGTCAAATTAAGAATCTAAAACCAATAAAATCTTAACTATAAAAAATTTAGGCCTATTGAAGAAAGCTCTAAGACAAAAAATGACTAGACATGTATACTAATGGAAACTCGTAGTATCAAAAAATATTAGTAAAATATGAGAGTAATAGATTGGGCATAATGCATTATATGTAAGTAATGTCTAAAACATATACATCCGTATACATATATGTTAATGTAATTGCATTGATTGAGAAGTAAAGTATAAAATAATAAAAATTTGATACAGAACAACTAAGGGGCAGATATCTCACTCTTTAAGAAAATTCAAGCCCTATGCAACTAACAAAGTCAATCCGATGCAATAGTTCTTTTTATTTGACTTGTTT